CGGGTATCAGACATGAATATTGGGTTTAGTATCTTACTGTTTAAATCATAGATATTTTCCACGATGTAGATAATATTATCTAGTAGTTACACAGAATAGAATAATAGTTATCACTAGTGTTATCACCGAATACCGATTATACTATTTTAAACACGGACTAAGATATATAGGTATATCTTAGTCCGTGATTTTAAATCCACGGTATTATTATAAATAATAATTTTGTCTATTACTTTAATCAGTGGCGTATGTACAAATTATTTTCATAATGGGCCAATTTATCACTAGTCAGCATAGTGAGACTAACATAGCCATAACTATACATTTTTTAAGGAGCTGGGTGGTTATAAATACAAATAAAAATTGAGCTATTCAATTTTATAATTATTATGTAAAATTCATTTTTAATTCTTTTTTAAAAAATATTGACAATTTCATATATACATAATATATATTTTAATGTTATCTTATTGTGAATTTAACACAAAAGTCATCAAAGCAAGTCCAGACAATCTAACATTTCCTTGTTGATTCCTCAAAACGATTTTAATTAACCGGTTAAATTAATCATGGTGAAAAACTGTAAACACGTTTGACATAGGTACATGAAATGGTTTAATTGAACCTGCAATTTAACTATGGGCTCTGGCCTAGGGAGCCTATATACGCCACTGACTTTAATACTTTGTTATTATACATTTAAAAATTATAGATATCTTAAGTAGTTGACACCTTCGCTTGGAAAAAAAAAAGGAGGATGGAATTAGAAGATTGGTCAAAATGTCCTAATCATTTTAATTTGTTTTTTGTCAATCAATTATTAAGAAATAAAAAATACAATAAGTGGATGTGATATAATTTAAATTTCTTGTTTACATTTTTATGTTTTATTTTTTTTTAAATAAAGGTATTTGTTTTAGATGTACTTTTAAAGTTGTCACTTATCTTTATCCTTTTAAATATTCAGCAATGTGCTTTATGTGCAATTGCCAATTAGGACTAAAAAAATGTCATGCCATCAGGATGTAGTATACAGAATACAATATTATACCTTAACCTAAGCACCCCCCATAAAAAAATCCTAGATCCGCCACTGTAGGTACCTACTCAAGTTTATTAGTTAACTAAGACGAATACTTTATGTCTCTATCGTACTGTACTATACACTACCATATTTATTTTTTATGTGATATTATAGGTACTGATATGTATATACGATATACCTTCTATTTATATTTAACTTTATTTTAACTTTTAAATCATTAAATTATCCTCGTTAAATAACGATAAACGACAATAACATATTATGTGGCATTTCAAGCACACCAAAGTACCTACGGTGGTTGTTGGTTGATAACTATTAATTTCGTCGACTCTGCAACGATATCATGTGCAACGGTGTTCGCCGTCGTAAAAGCATTAGAAAAAAAACATTTTGTAACGTAAAAATGTATACGTATGTACGTTCAAGTATTGTTTGATGTTTTGAGATGTATATATGCTTCAATCTTTACTTCAGACAGCTCGGCTGACGTACCTACTAATTACTATTATGATTATTATTCAATTATATAATAGATATAACTAACTTATTTTTATGAATATTTTCTATTTATATACATTTTTAAATTAAAAATGATTGATTTAATATTTTACCTATTATACTACAGTCTATAGCAGCGGTTCCCAACCTTTTTAGTTTCGCGGAAAACTAATTTTGTAAAAAAATATTTGAGGCCCACCCATAGCATACATATACGTTTTCATAAAATTATAATATATAATATATATTATATACATATATACATGTATAGGTATATAGTTATTAGGAATAAAACATTTTAAAAATTAAAAAAAAAACAATTGTTTATTAAAAAAAACTCAATTCAACTTTATCACAAGATAAACAATTTAATGTGATTTTTGACATTGCTTGTTCTTCACGAGAAAGTCAATATCTGGATTAAAACTTGTTAGTTTTAGTCTTAAATGACTCTCAACATTTAGTTTATTCCTATATTTATTTTTTAAATAAATTAAAGTAGAAAAATCATGTTCACATAGATAAGTTGTCGAAAAGCCCAAGAACCTATTAATAATCATCGAACTATATAAGATAAAACAAATTTCAAACATTCGATATCGTATCGTTAATAATTAACTATATAATTTACTATACAGTATACAGTATACACTAAAGTTAAAATTGATTAAATATTATTATGATCAGAAATATAACAAAAAATATATAATAATATTATTTTAAATATATAAAATATTGAATATTATACCTATGGTTAGTGCGGCCCAGTACCATGCTGCTCGCGGCCCATGGGTTGGGTAACCGCTGGTCTATGGGTACTTATATTATTATCAAGAATTTGAATTTAGTGCATTCTAATATAACTATAAAAATGTAGTCCAATTAATATGCAGTAAAAAATATGTCTATATCCACTAAAAATTACAAAACTTGCGAAATTATGAAAAATAAACTAATATTATATATTATAGATTCAGAATTATAGTTTTAGGTAGGTATATACAGTGTTGCCAAAAAATACTTTTAAAATCAAGTATTGAAAATACCAAACAAATACTATAAATAGTAAAGTATTTGATTAATACTAATAGTTAACCACTTTTTAGAAATAATAGAAATAATATTCAAATACAAAAAAAAAAATATACTTTATTCAGGTAGTTCTGAAATAATTTGTTATAATCAAAAATTTGTCTATTGCATTTTAATTTTTAAAAACATGATTCGTTCAATATAATCAAAACGCTAATCAGTCAAGTAAGTTATTTTTTAGTGTTAGTTGCACCACAAGTCCACAACAAGTCCACAACAATTAACATTTCTCTACACTCTACAGAGAGTTATATACTTATATGTATTTGGACATTTTTTTATTTTGATAAAGGAAGATAATCTTATAAGGAATCTTGTATTACATTTTAAAATCTTAGATTTAAAAAGAAAAAGTTTTATGAATTCTTAACTCAAAATGATTTGCTAATTTTCGTGATTTTTCCATATTTTGTCAATTTTTGAACTTTAAATGCTTATAACAAAAAACTGTGACTAAGGATTTTTAATATTTTTCATCTGCCTTTGAAAAAATATACTAGGAGCCTTCTATTAAATTTTAAAGCTTTCTTAACCAACAAATAAAATTTTATTGATATTTTTAGAAAAAAAACTAAAAAAAAATGGAAAATGAAAATGTCCCTAAACAGTTAAAAATAAATCAAAATATTTTTAAAATGTTATCGTGTATAGAAAATGCAAATATAAACAATCAGTGAAAATTTCATGTATCTACGGTCATTTGTTTTAAAGTTACAACAAAAACTAAATTCAATTTTGTGAAAAATCGATTTTTCGTAAAAATTCCCGTTTTTCCTTAATTTTTCTTTTGTTTTTCTTTTCTCTTTTGAAAATTACTGGGAATTTTAAATGTTGACCTCCCCAATGTACCGCAACGATATTCACTTTCCAATCGAACAAGATATTGAAGTTGAAAATCTTAGTAGTATTTCGACTACTTATCATGTAAACACACAAAAAGAAAAACACACATCATTGTAAAATCAATACATTCATCGTTCCACTCAGAATCTAAAAAAAGTATTTAAAATAACATTCAAATACTTCAAAATAAAAAGTATTCAATGCGGAAAAATGTATTTGAATACTTTTACTCAAATACTTTACAATACTAGGTATATACATTATACATACAGACACCTATATAGGGGAGTTCAAATCCCTCCCGAAAATTAATAGTTGTGTGTTTATTTAAATCAATTATTGATAATATTACAAGATCAAGACTACTATATATGAACCCCCCCCCCCCCCCCAAAATTTTTTATGTACGTGCCTGTATACATATAGCTTGACGGATACCAATAAAATATTGAATTGTTATGTAAAAAAATGTAGGTAGTTACCTATATTATGAAAAATATAATGTATTACAACATATGTTAATATGAATTACAAAATAAAAATAAAAAAAATTGAATAAAAATAAAAAATAAAAATTGTTTGAAAGAATTTATGTAAAATAAAATGTCCATAATACCATAATATAATTTATAAGGGTTTACAATTTGGCCAAGTTATATTCTTCAATTAAACATAAAAACGTTGAAAAAAACCAGTTAGGTACCTACCTACATGCATTTATATACACACGTCGTCTTAACAGGACGCTACACTGATATTATCTGTCTCCGTCGTACAACATAGCAAATGTAAGTTCAGCAGATCACGTTTAACTCCATTTGTTTAAAAATTAGAGCAAATTCACCTATTGTAATATGGTAAGAACACTATCTGTGTTTGTAAGTGGGTTTTCTACGATAATTCAGTTTTTAAGTGAGTTATGAGCATTTTTAATTTACGCTTTATTATACACTTAAAACTTGCTAAAAATTTTAACTATCGTAAAAAACCCACACGCAAACACGGATAATGTTCTTACCATCAAGTCTTAAAATAAGTCGATACTCTCTAATTTTTAAACTAACTGAGCTAAACATGATCTGCTGAGCGTAAGTTTTCTATGTTTGTACTCGTAAGACGGAGACAACAAATGGCCGTGTACAGCGTCTTCTTATTTCGTAAGTCCAAAATATACCTTCAGAATAAAATTTTTGTATTTAGAATAGTATTATTTCTTGAATAAAATTTGTATCTCACTAATTTTGAATTCGTCGATGTACCTACTCAAAATTATTGAATTAACGGGCCACAGCCCTGATTATTACACTAAAAGTCGTAAAAGATATACCTATACAGAGATCTGTGGCTCTCATGCCTACATTAATTATTAAAATTTAGAATTATATACATAAGTATAATCAAAAATATAAAATTGTTCCACACTGCCTTGTATATAGAATCATGTACCTATTGTACCTATATAAATAAAATGTTCTCGGTGTACTAAAATGTTATGTTGTGTGCAGAATACTGCCCGCCCGACATGACAACGGCTCACAAACGTGCTGGTACGCGTGCAGCAGTGCAACCGTCGTCGTCGGACGTCGGCTGCAGCGAACCTGCGGCGGCTGAAATGAGCCGCAAGTACCAAACAGCTTTCCAGTCGTTCTCCATCGAATCTTTGATCGGCGGCGGCAGCGAGACACCTCCGCCACCGGCCGACGCAACCATATCGCCGCCACCGTATTATTTGGACTCGGCCGCGATGCAACTGCAGCAACGGTCGACGTTGGAACCGTCGGCGATGTTGAACTTTGATTATTTGAGCGTGTTGCGATTGCAGTCGGCCGCAGCAGCCGCCGCGGCCGCCGTCGGTAAATCGTTCGCGCCGCGGTCGCTGTGGCCGTACTTGAGCGACGCGGTCGCATTTCCCGGAACGCCGCCGCCACCGCCCCTGTGTTATCACGATTACCGACGGTCATTACTGCGTGACGTCGGCAACCGGCCGTCCCCGCCACCGGTTTTCGGTTGCGACGCCGCCACTGACGACGACGCGGATTCGGGTGACCCCGAAAATCGCGACTTGCCGAACGCATGCACGACGGTCGTCGCCGATGGAGGCCAGGGTGGCGGTGGCGGCTACGACGACGATGACGACGGCGGAGGTGGTGGAAGAGACAACGGAGATGACATCGACGACGACGAGGACGACGAAGACGATGTCGACGACGACCCGCGGTTCGGTGAGTATGTTATATTGTATATATATATGCATTAAAATTGGTTGGTGGTTATAATAATATGTCAAATTTCAACATTTTAAAAATATAATTTTTGAAAAATTTACAAGATTGGGGCTATACATGTGGTTTTTTGTAGCGTTTTATCCGCGACATATTGGTCGTATTACAATAATTTACAAGGGTTATACGTTTTCACTTAAAATATTCCGTCACGATTTTTTTAAAAATGTTTTTAAATATTGTATGCCACGTAATATTATCAAGTGTATTATCAATAATATTATAAATTAACTTATAGCGTTTTCCACATTACGGCACTATTTGCACTGGTGCAATTATTTTATGTTTCATATTATTTAATATCAGTGTACAACTAGTGCGGTTTTTTATGGTCCACATGCGTGCACTCTGCTAGTTTCTTGCACTAAGTGCAGTGATAATCTCAAGAGCTCTTTATGACTTTGCCCCTTATCTTTTATTGATTAAGAATCAAATAGCAAGTTATCAAAAATAAAATTATTGATATCATCTTAATCATTTTCCCGATGCATTTTCAGAATGCATGTTTCAGATGCTCCTTAAATTTACTGCACTGAGCAACATTATGGGTGTTATCATTTGCACGCTGTACGTGCAACTAACCATACTAGTGCAGTCATGTGGAGATCTATGGTTATAGCACAGGACCTCTCAATAACTATATTAAATTAAATTATTTAAATTATTATTGATATTGGATACAATGATACTAATTAAATATAATTTATAAATAAATTAAAATAATTACTCCACTCTGTCATTGTATTTTATCCTACATGTATGTACAATAATAATTATTAATTTTATTCATTATTCATATTAGGTATGTTTATTTTACCTTACGCATCGAATCATTTTTATATACAAGTACTTACCTACTAAATTTGAATTCAATAATATAAAATCATAAAGCTCATAAAAAATTATTGTATAGATTTACGCACAATTTTTTTTTTAACTTCCACTAACATCAACTTATGTGAAACGTCGTATTGCATTTTCAAGATTTGACCAACCGAAAGATTTGATATCGACAATAATTTTTAAAAAAACTAATAAAACTCGACATTTTCTTATGCCTATAAATAGCTCAAAAAGAGTAACTATATTTTGAAAATGCTATGGTGCATAGAAATTGCTAATATAAACATTCGGTGAAAATGTCATCTACATTCGGTCATTTTTTTGTTGGTTTTTCTAGACTCTTTTAAAAATCCCCCAAAAAGGTGACGATAGACACAAAAAAAAGCACTGTAAAATCAATACATTCATCGCTCAGAATCTAAAATGTTTATAACTTACAAATATAAACTTTGATAAAAAATAGTATTTATCTAATTTTTGTAAAAATATTTCTATTTAGACTTTACAAGATTGGAAAAACATGAGTTAAAACTAAACACTGCATGTCTACACTGCATTATATTATTTTCCGTTCGAGTTTTTAGTTACCCGGGTACTTAGCTCTCAATAATATATTATGCCTATTGTACTGATATTATATTATTGTGGTCTACTGCTTGGTCACGCAGTATTCCCACAAATGGTCAACTATTGTTGACTATTCTATGACTCCCTCGATTTCATTTACCACCCACTTCCGTCTTCCGGCCATTTATTACAATATGGACAAATTACTTTTGTATTTTTTCATTGGTGGCAACTGTGACTATATGAGAAAGACTTAGATGCTGAACGGCTTTCATAATATCAAAGTTCAATATCTACTCATTTTATCCATTTAGTAGCGTATATATAGTAGCTATAGTAGATTCATCAAATCCCTTGTAAAATACAAGTAAGTCAACCAAATGATGTACAGATATAGCAAAAATTAAATTGCAACAAACAAATACATTTTTCTGGTTATTTCTGCGAAATATTACTCAATTACCACATCGGTAACAACAAATTATAATAAAGAATATTCAGAATGTTTTAATGCAATTTATAGCAATTCATCCTTTAGGTACAAAAATACATTTTTATTATTAAGATCCTTGTAAGGTGTTTATTTCAGTTTATAAAAATAAAATAAAAATATTTACAAATTATTGCTTAGGCTATTATCTTAGGTATAAATATATAACACATATAATATTATAAATCATAAACATATTTTCATAAATCCTATAATTGAGAAAATTGTAGAAAATATAGAATTTCAGAGGTTATACTTTTAATTTGATCAACATTTAATTTAGTTCTAATTAAAATATTAAACTAATACTATGTTTAAAACATGCCAAAAGTAATTTTTTCTATTTAAAAAATTTATCTTCAGAGTATACATATACCCACCCAAATTTTAATCAATAGTGAATAGACTCATTTTATTTATTCATATGAAACTTTTAATCCTTAACCAAAAAAAGACATAACACCAAAAAAATTCCCAATGATAAAAAAATTAATTTAAAATTAATGAAAAAAATGTCTATAAAATAAAGTGCAAAATATGTTTGAATTTTAGTTGAATATTATACAATAAAACCACTTTAAAATGATTTCATTTGACAAAATAAGTTAATCAATAATTTTGATGCCATGAGTAATTAGATAGGTACACCGTACACGATTCAGTCAATCAGTCATCTATAAGTTGTCTATTTAACATTTTAACGACTATATATTGGCGTGATTCCAAGCAACTTAATTTTAGTATTGATTTAAAATGTATTACTATCACAACACAAAATTGTGTTAACATTTTTTGAAAATTACGTGGGTGGAAGAATTATACTTTTGCATCCCTAGATTTTTTTGGCAAGATCTTCAACCAACTCGTGTCTCATATACCACCTATGTCACCTACTTACCTACATAATCGCACATTGAAATATACATATAAAACAACAAGCATGCAGTTTCAATAAATATGTTTTTAAAATATCAGATCGATTTCTAGGAAAATGCCTAAATGATATAGATATTCTGCAAACAAGACAAAATACAAATGCGCAGTCATCAAATGAAAACAAATCTCGCCGAAGAAGAACAGCATTCACAAGTGGTCAGCTTTTAGAATTGGAGCGGGAATTCCAGGCTAAAAAATATCTAAGTCTAACCGAAAGATCCGAAATAGCAAACTCATTAAAACTTAGCGAAGTTCAGGTAATATTATTTATGTACAATTTATTCATATTATATAAAGGGATATACATATATTTATGTATATAGTATATGCGTATGTAAATATTAGGTATGCATATAATATGTGACATGAAATAATTAATAATTAATAAACTAAACAATACACCATAAGAATAAATAAAATAGATTAGGTAGTAGCCAGTAGATAATAGGTTAATATAGGCACCTATATATTACAGTTGTCTTAATCATTAAAATCAGCAGATAAGATATTTATATGAGTTTATGACTATCAATTTAATCATTGTGACTTAAGCTATAAGTTGTTTAACTTTTTATACTTTTTAACATTATACATTTCAAAAGTATAACCATTTTATTATAATCTAAGTATACATATTAGTATGTACCTATTTGTAATTTAAAATATTAAATTTTATCTTTAGAAGTGTATATGTCATTTTAAAACTAATTATTCAAATATAATTATTCTAGAAATAAATAGGTACAGTTAAATACATTATGGACTTAAAAGTTAAAACCCTAACCAATGCAAAAGGTGCTTGAGAAAATATCAAGTACAGACAAAAATTTCGATATATTTGTTCAAAAAAAAAAAACATTTTTAAAAATACTGTTATAAAAAATAAATCCTAGTGATTAAATTGTCCCATTAAAATTTAAAGCCCCTTAATCCGACTCTAATCAAACAACCAAAACGCCTCTTCTATATATTTCTTGTCGTTAATCTTATGGCAGCTCCTAATTTTGTTTCTTAGAAAAATACACGCATAGGTGGGTATTTTTTTTTACTGTCTAGAAATGTCTAATCATTACTATTAAGTATAATAATGAATAAACAATAGATCGAATATGTTTCCATAGCCGAAATGTGATGATGATATAATATGTGCATACATTATTCAGCATACTAAGTAGATTTTGTTAGATTATCACATCCGAGTATTGATGTATATAACAGTATATATTATTATAAGTATAAAGATAATAATAAAGAGATATTATATTCTATATCAATTAGGTTCTTATATTCATGCATGAATATTTAATTTAATTCAAATTAAATTGATAAATATATCTATAAATGTTTATTTAATATTATAAATTATTATTAGTCATGACTCATGACTCATAAACCATGATAATATCAACAGTAAACAAATTATTTTACTATTAAGCATTAGTAATACAATAGTCAGTAGGTAGGTTGAATTAATTTTTGCCAAAAAAATAGAATTTTAAATGTGATTGTGTGGATAAAGTTTAATAATATATTTTAAAAGTTTAAAATGCCCAAGAGGCCACAAGGCACCAGTGTTGGGTAATAACGTAACGAAAGTAACTTGTAACGGCGTTACTTTGCTTGTAACGCGTTACGTAATTACATTAGAATTATTTCCAAGTAACAAACATGTAATGGAAATTACTTTAGAAAAGTAATTTATATAGAATAATGCGTTACAGTTTCAAATTTAAAAAAAAATGTATTTTTGTTATAAGAAAGTAATTAGTTACTTTTCTTTTTGAAAAGTAAAGTAATTTCATTACAATTTTTTTTGTGTAACGATTAAAGTAACATAATTACATTTATTTCGTTACTTTTTAAAAGTAACTTACCCAACACTGCGAGGCACGAATAATATTTTTAAATTACAACTAAATAACTAAAATCGTTATTATTTGTACAATAATCGTAATTAAATATCTAATTTTTGAAAGTTTTATCATGTATAGAAAATGATAAAATAAACATTTTATGAAAATTTTAAATACTTACAGTTAACAGTTTTTTGAATAACGGCAAAATGAGAAAATAGTTTTATATCCAATGTCCAAAGTATCAACCAGATTCACTTTTTTACCAGAAAATATGCTGTTGATGAAAATCAACCATTTTTATTGTCCCAAAAAATGATGGCACACAATAAAAAAAAAACATTTCATTGTAAAATCAATACCATCCATCTCTCTGCTCAGAATCTTAAATTTAAGGCCACTGGCCTAGATAAAATATTACCTACTTATCCTTGGGATTGTGTAGCTTGTATTGATGGTAATTTTTTTTTAAAAGTACTAAGTAGTTTCCGTGATTACTTTGAACAAATAACAATCAAACAATTTTTCTTCTTTATAACATTAGGTAAGTTATAGGCGGATTCAGAAATCATTTTTCGTATAATAATTGATCAATGAATTACAATTGAACACATCTATTAAGATATCTTACTCAATTATGAGGTAGGTACCCTCGACACCTACTGTACTTACAGTAGAAACTCAGAGTGTACTTTTGAAATATTCTTAGATCTACAAGTTCTAGGCTCTACATAATTAAGTAATCAACTACTCTTTCAAAATACTATCCATTATACAGTGAACTACTTGAAACCTACCGTAAAGCACATACAACTTACCCACCTATTTTATATATTGAAATTCTCAGAAAAAAATATTTTGTTCCGGAGTACCTACCTATGAAATTAAAAATGTATGCTGTAATTCAAGAAACTAGAAAGCTTAAAATACAATAATGATTAAAAATATTAATATAATTTTTTCCAAAAATATTGTTTTGTAATGATTAATATCTAATTAGGTATCTACAAAAAAATTATTTCAAATGTGGTAAAATTCTTTGAGGAAATTATTACTGTTTACCTTTATAAAAATCTTCTTTTGTAGAGCGATGAATACCGTAAATATTGAAATAATGAATTCAATTAATTTAAATTATCCATTATTCTCTATAAATTATAAAACGCTTGCTTATCTACAAATTATTATTAAATAAATATAGGTACCTATTGAACCTATGTCATATAAATATTGTTTTCTTTTCGCTATTCTATTTTTGTGATCATTAAATTCTAAGTTCAGTTATTTGTAAGTTGTAATTAATATAGTAGAAAGTAGTTATGTAATTTTTTATATATTATATTATATATAATACCTATAAGTAAGTAAAATAAAAAGAATAAAAAAGCATCTCATGTTTCTTTATTATATTTTATTTTTTTTTAAATCGCATGAATTTATAAAACTGAATTTTGATACACTGAAATATCCATTTCGATATATGACGTGAAATACATGATATTATCCCTTGGCGTACATTAGAAAATCACGCCTTCTAATAAATTTACTTTTCTACTTTAGAAATATTGACTATTTTTCTTTCAGAAATCCATATCAGTATAATATAATACAATATATAGGATGTTTAAACTTTTCATAACACTAGAATTTATGAAAATTGAATAACATTATATCGTTTATATTATAACTGCTATTAGAGTTGTATAAATAAAACCCTCGAAGAACACCCGGTATTAAAACGAATAAAAGTTTACCCTTCAGACAACTATATACTATACAATCTGCACCCTCTTTTGAGTGGGAATGTATGTCGTGCAGCTGAATTTGCATAATCATAGGATATCCGCTTTTTAACATTATGATTGTCAGGAAACAACACAAACGTTTTATAAATTCAATATCTCATGTAGGTGCTTTTTTGTTTTTTGGGGACAAACTTTTTATCAATATAAACTGCATATTTTAATTATATATATCGTTACACTAATCTTAGCATATTTTAATCGTGTAGTCTTGATAATCTTTGTCATTAATGTACAAATAGATTTTAAAATTACACAATTTAGGATGAATCAAACAATACACTAAATTATAATATATTCTTTATTTTTCATTTGTTTGTTTTTTATTTTTCAATTTACGGATTCGTTTATCCACGTTTAATTTATAACAATTCGTAAAATGTGATGTATCTTCTTACAAAAGTAACAATAAGCACTTTTTGATTTCTGAGTGAATTTATTGGTCTTTCAAAGTATCAATGGTGTGTACTTTCCTTTGTCGTGGCTGTCATCAAGTTTCGGAGTAGAAAATTCGTTTTAATCATTAACTTTGAAGATAGTTTACTTACTAGTATATGGTGTACAATATGATCTAGTTAGTACCTACTTTTAAGTGTCAGAAAACACTTAAAATTATTAAAAAAATAAATTTATACAGCGGAAAAAGAGAATATTTAAGCTGCATTGGTTTTGTTTTTTTGTTTTAACTCAGAAAGGAATAATCATAGAAACTTTCAACTTTCACTAACTCAAATTAATATTTTCTAGGCATAATATAATTTTCAAATAATTATAATTTATGATTTTGGTTTTCAGTAAAAAAAACTTGAAAATGTATAGTAAGGTTCTTTAAAAGATTTTCATATTCGTATGGAAATATAAAAATATATACTATATATTATCATAGTCTTTACTATAAACGTTTTAAGGTTCAAATTTTAACAAAATTCATCAAAATCACATTAATTATTTTTTAGCTTAAAACTTTCATTTTATGTTGAGTTTTAAAAATGTATAAAATACTCAATTTTAATACCTTTAACCTTATACGACTTAAAAATGTAATGGATACAAACTACCTATTATATACAGCTTATATACTTTATAATATCTTTCTGTTCCTCAAATTACTATCTTAACTCACCGATCATCCGTCCAATGCGCATTGCCAATTATTGACCCTTCATTCTCACTCTAAAATTGAGCTTCGTTTCTATAAAGCAATATTATTACTATTATAATATTAATGTTATTATAGGGTTCGTCCCGTATTGTAATCTAAAATAAAAATAAAACAAAAAATAATAATATGTTAATTAATTGGAATGTCAGTAGCTCTATAAATCGAAATATAATGAAGATATTGTAGTGTATTTTTTCAATATATAAACCATGATCTATGAATCGTCAACTATATGATCTAAGACAATTCTACGTAACGGAATTGGAGCAATAATTAAAAAACTCAGCGAAACGTTAATTTCGTTACAAATATTTACAAATATCATGGGACATGGCTACATGGACCTATGCAATTGATTTGTGAATAGCAGTTCATGATGGATGTATTGAATAATATTATAAGACAACTAAAAAATATAAGATATAATTTCAATAAGTAGTGTGTTCTTTATTATAATATATTGGATTAGCATTAGGTATAAAAGAGTAAAAACCTTACAATTTTATAATATTATGATGTATTTTTGAAAATATTAGTTGTTTTCCTTCATTCAAAATTCAACCGATTTCAACATTTTGTTTTCTCTGTATAAAATGTCTTTTTCGATAAGTACCTACATTTTTATGTGTGGCCCAAATATTAAACAATAAAATATGTTTGGCCTAGTTAATACATTGAGTTTGACATGCCTGTTGTACCCCTTAAACAGCAAGGAATTTTGTAGGTACCTAGATAAAAATTCAAAACACCTTCAAATTTAATAATTTATCCCTAAAAATTCTATAGGACATTTGATATCCTATTACAGGTATTAATAAAATATAAAATTATTTTAGCTAAAATCATTACTAATATTACCTAATATATAAAGAAGTATAGTAAAGAAAAAACATAAAATATCCTCAAAAATATTATAAGCGGTCACACACAACTTGCACTCAGAATTTTTGTTCGTATGTAATGATTTATCGTTGAATTTAATTTTAAACCATCAATTTTATTAAAGTTACCAGCTACTTATTATGATTAATGACGTGTACTCAAAATCTATATAATACTACGAAACGAGATCCCAAATTTTTTTTCATTTATGATATGGCCCAATTCATAGATTTTTTAAAATATGTTCAACAAATATTTTCCAAATAAACAAAAACCGTTAGCTTGTATTAGTTCATTTACCATTTCAGATTTTTAATGGTTTTTTTTTCTTTAGAAGATGTCACACCCACATGTTTATATATACATAGTCTTGGTTTACAAACGTTCGGCACTACGACTTATTTAATTTGTAAAAAAAAGGTCCAATTTTGTGTAGTAGAAAAGCTTTAATAGAGTGAATTGACCTATATGATAATAATATCATACTTATACCTAAAACATTATCTGGGGTTTCTCATGGGTTATTTATATTTTAACTTATAAGCGAGTTATTGGCATTTTACTGATGTGTTAATGTATCAAAATAAATAATATATTTATTTTCCACAACATGCAAACGGTACTAAACGCTTAATATCTACGTCCTCGACAAAGATGTTCACCTATTAGCTTTATAATATCATTGCTTGCTCATTATTGTTTTTTTTTCTCTCTCTCGTGTGTCACACCCGCAGGTGAAGATTTGGTTTCAAAACAGGCGAGCGAAATGGAAACGGGTCAAGGCCAGCTTGTTGTCCGGAAACGCGTGCGGCAACGATGGCCAAAAGAGCAACTCCGGTGGGAACACGATGAGGGGCCGATCGAAATGTCCAAATGGCGTCGGCGGCGGCGGCGGGGCGGGAAAAATCGTAGTGCCCATACCGGTACACGTCAACCGGTTCGTGGTGAGGAGCCGACACCAACAGTTGGAAAAATGCGCTTCCGGTTTTGCTCATCTCCGACGAGGTAGCGATGCGGACTTCAAAATCAAAAGTCGGCTGCAGTTGTACACGTCTGCCATTCTGTAGTCGGGCACGGACAGTGGCCGCCGAGTTCGGCCTTTGTATAGACACGTCATCGTACTGCAATAATATTATATAAAACGCAAACTTTGGACAGAAATGAAAGAATAAATAATAATAATAAATACAAATTATGATATAATAACATATATACCTAACCTATATTACGTACCTATAATGGTTGTCGAGTGCTATTTCGGACATGTCACTGCAGTGCCATTTCAGACGATTTTAAAAAAGCTAATTTATTTAGTGACATTTTCGAACTTAGACACACTAATACCGATTATAGGTAGGTACCTACCTTGCTATTTTCAATTTGTGTACATATTTTTTAGGATTAATATTAACATATTTTCATCATATTCAATAGGAAATTTATAATTCTTACGAATACGGAATAAACATCAAAACCGTTTAGATATGTACTTACTATATTTTAATTATATATTTTATAAGTGATTTTAATAACTGTTAAGGTATAATATTATGTTGTAATTAATATATAAAAAGAAAATTGTTTGGATTATTGACGCTGCAGTTGAAAAAACAATTTAAAACAATAAGCTTTTCATGAATTAAAATCCGTTTCAAAAATTAAATGACCTAGAATTCGTTTAAGGAATTGAATTTAGGTATATTACTGATTTTAATAGTACCTAATACCTATAACACGCAAAAACTTGTATGGATAATTAATTTCGTGACTATGTATATAGGTACCTAATATCAGCTTCGACGTCGAAGAACGTGAATTCTAGATAATTCTAGATAATTTCGACAGTTGAACGTTATGACTTCATGAGTGTTATGAGTTATGACGTATAACAATTTTGAAATAAGGTTTTGACTCCTCGCAACGTGTAGGTATACCTAGGTAGGTACTATACTACTCTGTAAAAGTCCCAACACACTGCAGTGGTGTCGGTAAATTTTGTCCGGACTCATTTTACTACCACCCCTGCAGTGTGTGCATGGGGACCTTAAAGAATGACAGAAACACAGTTTTATTTGAATCGTAGTATCTAGGTACAGAGTTTTCTGATAACTATTCTCTGAGTTCACATTCCTACTGGAAATACTACGCTTAAGTGAGTAACCCATTAAAAATATCAAAGGGTTTGAACATAGAGAATTTAATTTATATCATAATATTGTCATCAGACTTCGAAATTTCGAATCCCCCATGGAGATGGGCAAATGAACAAGATTATAAATTAAAATATTACGGATTATAAGAATTTGTAAAGAATAATACACTAGTATATTAATAGTACCTACCAAAACCGTAAAAATGTATTTAATGTATTTTATATTTATACCTACCTACCTATATATGTAATTTATTTACATTGTATGTGTACATCTGTAAGTTGTTATAATTTTATCTTTGGTAAGTACTTAGTACATTTTATACATTATTTTTTCTGATGAAAATATTATTCTTATCATCAGAAACATATCCTAATAAGTAATAAAATAGTATTTTGGTGATTAGCTTAGAACATTGTAGATGAATGTAAAGACAAAATAATATTGAATTGTTCAATATAACATTCAATTCACTCTTCCAGAAAGTATACCTATACATATGCATACAAAATAGTAAAATATACTAAATTCATATTATGTATAAAGTATAGGTACACGAATATTTTTATAATCCTATTCTCTCTTTTTTTGTAATGAAATAGTTTCATGCGATACTATATACATAATAAATAATTTAATATATTATACATTTGAACTTTGAATATGCATTGTAAATATTTATCATTTAGGTTATAACATTTGTGATTGATAATGCTATTTTTATTTTTAAGTACCTTTTATAAAATATAAATAAGCAAAATAGATTTTAATATACTATGAAATATTAATTATTAAGTATATTATATTATAGTTTTGTGCAATAACATTGTAAATATAATATAAATTATAATCATCACATGTTACATACACATCTAAGAGTGTAGAGAGTATAGCAGTACTTGTGTAATGTTTAAAAGTGTAATATGAAAATACTGTATGAAAAAAATATAATATTATATAAACTTATAAAATCAAAAAGTGTGAAAAAAAACGATGTTGAAATTAACCATGATATATACATTATACATAAGCCTTGTACACTTCCGGTTTGGTATAAAATATATGTTCAATATTTTAATACAATTTGGTTGCCTTATTTATTCTCTAAAACGCATAATAAGAACAATTTGAACATATCGGGTTTGTACTTTTACTTTGTATAGTAATTATTGTATAAAACGCATACATGATGTTCCATACAATATTTCATTTTCTAAAAAAATATGCTACGGTACAACGGAGAATATTCCTAAGCATAACTATGGTTAAGGTACACGAGAAGGCAAAGGATATTGTTATTCTATAATCTGCAATGCTACCACGTCAACTCCAATCGTGTTTTCGCAAATAGGTGATATGCGAGGGAACATGCAGTGGTTACATAATGTTTCAAAATATATATAGGTTAGGTCATTGAAGCTGCAGCTTGAGTTCACAGCTACGTCGTCTATCGTGTTGTGTCCAGAACTTCAGCTCGGCCCTACTCTGGAAATTTTCTAGTAGATCATGATTATGAATGATACTAAGATTACAACATCCAATCAGAATACGATAAAACTATAAAAGGCACACTACACGAGAGACGACGTATATAGCTACTGTGAAACTGGCTTTATGGTGTTTATGAAGACAACTTTTTGGTTGTAATAGGTTGTAATAGGTTACGATTTATTATAGTTAGGTAGGTTTAACTGTTTAAGTTGAGCATCTATTTGATGTACAGATCCGAAGTGTAAAATGGATAGAAATTGCATCCATTTCAAGAAACAGGACATCAGAACGTTAAATGGACGCGACACACACACTGAGTGTCTGAGTAGTAAGTAGGTTTATAACGTCATAATGGGACAGCGTAAAGTGATGTAAATTTTACTATTTTTTTTTATTTATAATTTGAAAGTAATAATAATGGTCATTTTTAGTATAATTACAAGTTATTATTTTGAATATCTTATATCGTGATTATTTTCCAAAAATGTATACCTAGTGTATATTTTGGTTATGTATACCTACTTATGCATAGCTAGCTAAAGTTAAAAGTAGCCAGGTAGCCTATAACAGTTTAATAGTTTATATTGTATATATGTCGATGTCATTTTCTAACAGTGTTGTAAAAAATACTTCTAAAACGTATTTAAGTACCTAATTACTCAAATACACTTAAAATGAAGTATTTAAAATACCACCCAAATACTATGTATAGTAAAGTATTTGAGTAATACTAATAGTCAAATACTTTTTAACAATATTTGAAATAATATTCAAATATAAAAAATATATTTTATTTAGGTAGTTCTGAAATAATTTGTTATAGTAAAAAATTTGTTTATTGCATTTTAAAAACATGATTCGTTCAATAATCAAAATGCTAATCAGTCATGTTGGTTCTTTTTTAGTAATAACTGCACCACAACAATTAACATTTCTCTACAGTGAGTTGTATATTAATTTAAAGCTAAAACGACCATTTTCTTGGTAAATAGAAAGTAATAACTAATAATATTATAATAATTATTAATAATATTTTCTTATTGTTAAATTATATAGTATAATAGCTGTTAAGCAAAAGCTTATTGTGTAATATATATTTTGTTATTGACTTTAAGCTTATTCTGGTATACCGACCTACTGTTTAGACTGGAGAAAATAACATTTAATTAAGCTATTAATCGGCGTAAACCGATATCCAATTGTCCATAAATGATAAATATAATAAATAATATATTATTGTTATAACGTTGAAGGATAACCACGACGGCATGGTTTTTTTTTATTTAACAAGGATTATAAATAGAAACAAATTAAGAATTAAAAGAATAAAAAAAGAGTATTCAATAAAATAGTATTCAATACCTACTGAAAAAATTATTTGAATACTTTTACTCAAATACTTAACAACACTGTTTTCTAAGTTTTTACAGCTAAAATAATGAATTCCTATTGTAGGTATGAATAATAAATGTATAATAATATGAAGCTAGCTTTTAAGACTAATAACATTAGATTTCCATTAGCCATCAGGTATAAAAACTTATAATTTATCCAAAATAAAAACAATGCCCAACATTTAAAATATCAGTCAACCGTCATAAACAGTTTACGATAAACCATAATAATACAACGCCACCAATCTCAACGCATATACCTATAACTATATAATTATTAGTTATTACTATTAAATTAAACATTACTATTGTAATTTTTTAAACAGATTATTTTACGTTCTTAGTGCAAATGTTGCTATTTTTAGAGCAAACATGCATGTATATTAAAGCATTTTTAAGTGCACAAACATCCTAACCCTAATAATACGAAAACTAGGAAATGTACATGAATTATTACAATAATTGTATGTAATAAAATAATGTATGTATTCAAAACATATTATTTTTTGTATAATAATAATATTATTATGTCAGTTGTATATTTTTTGAAATGTTCTAAACGTATACTTATACATGTCTATATGACTATATACATATATATGTGTGCATGTGTACTGTGTAGGTTCTTTTGAAACTGCAGGCAATGGGATTTCATTGTTGGTTTTGAAGCGTTAAAGTTTAATGGCTTTTGGCCATTCGGGAGAGGATGTACCGGCCACGCCTCTCGCTGCAGTCAAACGATATATAACACACAATGAATTAACGACATTATTTGGACCCATTAGTTATCGAAAATTACTTTTCTTCGAATTCCCCGTTGTGTCATTTTCAAATGCACTTAGGTTTGGTTATTAGTCTCGATTTAGTATAAAATCAAACCATACACACACACACACACACACACACACACACACACACACACACACACACATGACACATATTATGTACAGAGATTCACATATAATGTATAGGTAGGTACACTGTACCAGTGTACCAGTGGTGGTTTTGGTGGTGAGGCAAGTGAGGCGG